AATGTGAATAAAATATGTATATATTTCACATAGTTTCACACACCTTTTCCCTTTCCCTTTCCAAATCCCTCCCCAAATCCCCCAACCAAACACACCATCAAGGAAACCTCTTCTAATTATTCTTTCATTCTTTGATCATTAACAATTTAATAAGAATGTTCTACATTAAAACAATAGGCATTTACTTTTCTCTCAAGATGTTTCTAGAGTTGTTATATAACATATATCGTGGTATTGCGAAAAAGAGATGTGTAGCGGTTTGATCAATTTAAGTGATCGATTAACGCAACAGACTCATAAGGATTCAGATTGATTAATTGTTTGACCCTTTTCTCTGGTTTGCTTCGGATGGTTTTGTGGATCTTGTTGGCTATTGGGTATAGTTTTCTGATGAATTTCTCATATTTTGATCATGTTAGCTTATTCCAAAATAGGTACATCAATGAGATACACTACAGGAAAAATGAGTTTTGGCGACGTTTATTTAACGGAGTTTTATTAAACATCACATTTTATAATATTTAACAATGTTTCTTAAATGTCACTGTTTTAAAAAATCAAAACGGCACCGTTTCAAGCGTTTAAAAGCGCCTTTGAATGTCCCTTCTCTCTCCCTTAAATGGGCAACCCTCTGAAGCCCTAATCTCTTTCACTCTCTCGTTCGCTCTCTCTCTTTCTCTAAACCCTCTCAATGGATCGATTCATCTCTCGCTGATTCATCTCAGAATGATACAATCTCGGTGATTCTTCTTGGCGATTTCGATTTTGATTTTGATTTCGAAGTTCTCTCTCGATTTCAATTTCGAAATTTATTCGGTGATTCTCTCTCTCAATTTCAAAGTCTATTTATTCGGTGTGAAAGCCCTTTGTAAACCCTTATTTGGAATCCTCATGCCTTCAAATCTCGTCTCTCTCAGCCCTCTCTAAACCATTATCATTCTCACAGATTCGTCTTTGAGATTCAGAGCGATTTCAATTTCGAAGCTCCACCGCCACCACCGTCTGCACCGGCTCGATTTCTCTGATTTCGATTTCATCTGAATCTCTGATTTCGATTATGATTTCAATTTTGATTTCAAAGCTCCACCACCACCACTATCTCCACCAGCGAGGTATCGATTTCTCCGTCTCTCTCAAGCTCTTCCTTCCTGTCTCTCTCGATTTGGTTATTGAAATTGAAATTGTAAGCAAGAAACTAAAAGTTGATTTGTGGCTAAACACATCATTTTCTTCTTTTCTTCGCTTTCTGCTTCGTTGAACTAGATTTAAGTCTTTGCTTCAAGTCCGGATGTGAGAGAGAGAGAGAGAGGATGTGGAGGAGGAGGAGTTGATTTGTGTCTGAACGCATCCTTTTCTGATCTGTTATGTTGAAAAAGTTGAAAGATCTCTGAATATACACTTGCCCATTTACAATCCCATATGTACAGTTACTTTCCTTTTTCCAGATTCTCTTTAGCTTGAGGTACAGATCTCCAATCTTTTCACTTTCTATACCTTCAAATCTTTTGTGTATGTATATTTGGATTTATTTGTGTATATTACATGTTTGTTTATATGCCCAGCTTAAGTTGAAGTTCTCTCTTTCTTGTTCTCTGTTAGATTTCTATTTTTCTATTATTTTTCACTGCACCCAAAATACAAAAAGAGACACAAAAATGCACTTGTTAGTTTGTTACACCAAAAAGACACACAAGAAATGCAAGAAATCAATACAGTTGCTTCCTGGTAGCAGATAAGGAAGCAACTATACCCACATAATTCACAGTCTAGCTCAAGTTAACCCCATATTCTCATGTTCATGATTACATAATCTCATCGATAAAGAATAATCAGAATTCAAAATTATCCTTTAAATCTGTGTTTGGTAACGTTTACGTTTTCAGTTTATATTTATAAAAATTTTATAAACTGGTTTTTGTTTATTTTTAGAAAAACATAAACTACAAACGCATTTGGTAATTGACAAAATGTTTAAAAAAATTTAAAAATATAAAAAAAAGTGAGAAATGAAATAAGTGGTGACAGAGTGGTCGAGGGAGAAACGGGAGGTGGTAGAAAGCTGGTGACGGTGGTGGTGTGTATGCTGGTTGAGTGGTGGTGGGTGGGTGGGTTGACGGTGGCGGTGTCGGTAGTAGCGAGTAGGTGAATGGTGGTAGTGGTTAGCGCCAAGGGTGTGGATGGTGGTGGCAGATGGGTGGCAGATGGGCGGATGTGGATGGGTAGTCGCGAGTGGGTGGTGGTGGCAGGTAAGTGACGGGTGGTGGGTAGGTGGCCGGTGGTGGGTGGTAGCGAATGGGTGGTGGTGGTGGTGGTGGTGGTGGCAGATGGGTAGCGAGTGGGTGGTGGGTGATGGTGGTAGTGGTGGTGGTGGTGGTGGTAGGTGGCAGGTGGTTGGTGGTAGTGGGTGGCTGGTGGTGGCATGTGGTGAATGGTGGTGGCAGGTGGGTGGTGAGTGGTGGTGGCAAGTAAGTGGCGGGTGGTGGCGGCGGCTGGTTGGTGGTGGTGGCAGGTGGTGGGTGGTGACGGGTGGATGACAGGTGGGTGGTGGTGGTGGCGGTGGTGGTGGCAGGTGGGTGGCGGTGGCGAGTGGTGGCTGGTGGTAGCAGGTGGGTGATGAGTGGTGGTGGCAGGTGGTGGTGGAGGGTGGGTGGTGGTGGCGGAAGACGGTGGTGGAAAATGGTGGTGGGTGGTGGTTAATGTTGGGTGATAAAAAAAAAAAATTAAAAACTCAAAATGGAAACACATTTTTTGTGTTTTTATTTTTTGGCCAAATTTATAAACTGAGACCACTGATTTATAAATCAAAATTTTTACCAAACAAGTTTTTATTTGAGTTTTTTAAATTTTTGTAGATATAAACAGAAAACTGAAAACGTAAGTGTTACCAAACGGCACCGTTCCGTTTCTGATTTTGCTTGGCAAGTTCAATCTTTAACAATTGTATTCAAAAACCCGTGGCACCTCCTCCGTTTAGGATAGCGGAGATTCGAGCTGCCATTCCTAGCCACTGTTGGGTCAAGAACCCATGGCGATCTATTAGTTATGTGATTAGGGATGTTATTGTGGTTTTTGGATTAGCTGCATTGGCAAATTTCTTTGAAAGTTGGGTTGTTTGGCCTTTTTACTGGGCTGCCCAGGGGACAATGTTTTGGGCACTGTTTGTTCTTGGTCATGATTGGTAATATACATAACATGCTTACAATTCCTGTTTTGGAAATTCAATTTGAAGGCTCATTTTTGTGTTTGTTTTTTTTTTTTTTTTTTTTTTTTGAATCTGCAGTGGCCACGGAAGCTTTTCCGACAACCCTTTGTTGAACAGTGTTGTTGGACATCTCCTGCATTCGTCAATTCTTGTGCCTTATCATGGATGGTGTGTTCTTGATCTTCTGCATTTGTCAATTCTTGTGCCTTATCATGGATGGTGTGTTCTTAATCTTAACTCTTTTATTCTGATATTTGTATATCTGTCTAGATTGAGTTTGTGAAGAAATGGTGTTTGTGCATATGACTGATATATAATTACAGGAGAATTAGCCACAGAACTCACCATCAGAATCATGGACATGTTGAAAATGATGAATCATGGGTACCGGTAATACTTCTATAATTGTCCCTCTTTGCTCATCTTTTTCTGTCCAGTTTACTAATGTCGATGGACATCACCATTCTCACATTTTTAATCTTCTGAAAACAATAATCTTTTTGGTCCATTTTGAACACGATACATGTATGTTTATTTGGTACATGTATGATTATTTCAGTTTTTAGAACGACTTTAAACAGTAAATTGGGGCATCGTTGATGGAACACAAAGACTCCGATCGTAGTTGTCTCTGGCTCTAAAAGTAGTCCACTATCATGACTTGTGAGACCCACCAACCATCTATATATATGTGTGTATGTATATATGCTAAAAAGGTTTATTGTTGAATTTGTAAATTTGAATTGAAGGGTAGTTTGGAAGAAGGCCATGGGAGAGGGAGAGAGAGAGAGAGATGAAGGTCAAGATCATCAGACCCCTTTGGTTGATTCTTCCATCGACAGAACTGGTTGTCTTTCTTTCACTTTCTTTCTCTTCCCTTGTTTTTTTGTTTTTTTTTTCCCTTTTTCTAACAGTAACCATGAATTTTTCATTTCGTGATCTAATAAACCAATGATTTTTTATCCACAAGAATTTCCAAGAAAGTATATAATGTAAGTGTTTAATGCCCAAAAGTCAAAATTTTCCACACCCACTTTTTTACACAGCATCATCAATTCTCCAGCCCTTAAATATCAGGACACAATATATATATACACACACACTAGGGACATAAGCCCACCCGACGGGTGTGCTATTAAATTTATAAAATATAAATTTTAATTTTGAATTAAAAATGTAAGTAATATTTGTTGATTTAGTGGTAAGGGTGTTGTTTTCCAAACTCAAGATCTTAAGTTCAAATCTCGTGCACTTCACTTTATAAATTTTTTTTCTCTTTTTTTATATAAAAAAAATTCACTTGGGAACTTTGTGATTTCTGTTTTAGTGATCCTGGGAACTTTGTGTGAGTTCATGAAATGTTATTTAGTGATCCTGTGACTTGAAATGCATTGGAATAAAATAATTGGGAACATTTTTTAAAAAATTAAAAAAAAAATCTCAAAATTTAACATTGTAACAAATTAAACTAGTATTTTTATTTTTTTCAATTTGAACTTTAGACATTTAAAATGTTATCAATTATCAATTTTAACTATCTGACTGTGTCTGTTAACTTGTATAATGGAAGAGGACAATTTTGACATTTCTTCTTGGTTCACATATGTATGTGTTATGTATTTTGGTACTTAGATTGGCATATATTGACATGATTATGTGACTTGAAATGCATTGAAAGAAAGAAATTTAAGAACAGAGTATCCATGCTTGCCACAATTATAAGGGGCAGTGGCTTACAACCGTCAGATGGGAATTGTTATATATACACATATATGGATTATGTATTTTGGTACTTAGATTGGTATGTGTTGATTATATGATGATGAAGGGAACATATGGACCGGTGTGGCGTGCATAATGACAGGAGTGATAGGATCAGGGGTACTATGACTAGCATGGAGCATGTCTCAGTTGGGGTGGATTGCAGGCCCATTGGCTATGCTGCTCTTTGCATCCATTAATGGGAAGCATGTTTGGGCTTGCAAGTATGTGAAGAAGAACCCCAAGTCTCCATCCCATCAACCTACTTCTCCAGCTGCTGCAGCCCCAAAACCCTAATTCAGAGAGAGAAAGAGAGAGAGAGAGAGTATTTTTAATTTGTCAAGTGTACTAGTGTGGACTACTTGAGATCCATTAGTGAGTTGTGGTTACAAGAGATTGTGAACGATTTTTCTATTTATAATTCCAATGATAATTTGTTGTTTGTTGTGATGTTATGTATGTGAGAGGGTAATTTATGAGTAAATTGGGCCGAGCTGGGTACTGGGCCGTTCTAGGGGCCGTAGTAAGAAGGGCTTAGTAAAAGGACCGTAGTCCAGGTGTTAGCTCGGTCCGGGTATGTAGTGACCTAGCAAGGGTTAGCTCGGTCCAAGAGAGCTCTGCCGTTAGCTCGGTCACCACACTTAGAATGGTAACAGTTAGCTCGGTCATACCATATTGAGCCGAAGTATGTTAAGCTTTCCTCAGAACCTTGTTATTGGTTAGCTCGGTCCAAGCTCATTGTGGTTAGTGCAGTCTCGGACAACCCAGTTGGAATATGTCAAATCAAGGTACACGCAGTGAAAGGAAGAACCGAGCTAATGGGAGCTCGGTCTAGTCTACGGTTTTAGCATGGCTACGTTATCTCAGTCGTATTGACATCCAACCATGGTAAAACAATCTCACTTGGTTTATGCAGTGAGGGGGGTGTTGAAGGATAAGCATTATCTTTCAGGAATGTGATTCCTAGGAGGACTCTACATGGAGGAGTAAGAGTCCTACTAGGATTGTGCCACACGGAACCTATAAAAGCTCATAACATCACCTATGGAGAGGTAACACAACTTCGATTCCCGAATACACAGAGCTTTTTGTCTATTTGTCTATTTTGCTGACTTAGGCATCAGAGAAGTATCCGACACACACCCGCCGGCTAGCTCACGTTTGTGTTTTCAGGGAGTAAAGCGATGTCGTACGGAGGAGCACAGACTTGATCAACAGGATTATACGAGAAGGTTTATTTCTTTCCCGTACAATTGGCGCCGTCTGTGGGAATATCAGGCAAAGAACAAAACCTCTTGATCAAGTTTCCCTCGCTAGTTAAATGGCGCACAATGAAGATTTGCCGCAGTCCGCCATTGACGGACAAACCCCGTAGGGCGGTGGGAGGCGCGATGGTCTGCCTTCCATCCCACCCATGGAAGATTTAGAGCCATAGCGACAGAACCCCCGGAGGGATGCAAGGGGGAGGCGGGTAACAGCCCTCGTCGCTCTCACTCACAAAGTCCTGAAAGGCAGAGGCGAAGAATCGACCCTCAAGCTCTGGAGGATCGCGTAAAAGAGCAAGATGAACTAATAAGGAAGATGGCGGCGGGCATGGAATTGATGAAGCGCTAGATAAAAGGGAAGGGGGTGGCGACAGGAGTGGGACGTAAGAGCAATACGCCTCCTCGCCACTCAGCAGATCGTGGTAGGCATACCACGCCATCGCAAGCAGAGAGTAAGAGCCTCAGAACAGGCGACACTCAATCAAGGACTTCCAGAACTCGTTACTCCAGGTCTGAGAGAACGAGATCATTGAGGTCTTACACTGAGGGAAGCACCTATCGGCCCTCACATACGCACCAGACATCGTCCAGGCAAACGGAGTTGCCTAGATCGTCCGACTTACAGACTGTACTTGAAGAAAGGGCACGACGCAAGGAGGATGCCAGGGCACGCGACCCGCACAGAGTTTCAGCCCTTCAGCGGTTGGCTCTTCGAACGCATGGAAGCGTCGAGGTAGGAATGCCAATACTGCACCTTGCCTACGAACCAACAAATAAAGCATTAGCAAGACTACATAGCTCGCCGTTCGTTCCGGCGATTGAGAACACACCATTACCCTCAGGCTTCATCCAACCTAAATTTACCACGTACGAGGGGAAGACAGACCCTTATATGCACCTAAGCCACTTTCGCCAGGTCATGGCAGTGTACCGGCAGAACAAAGCTTTGATGTGCATCCTATTTCCATCCAGCCTTGGCGACCTAGGTTTAACCTGGTTCAAAAGGCTACCAGAAGGCAGCATAGCCTCATGGACGCAATTAGTGGTGGCGTTCGTGACAAGGTTTAGAACGAACACTAAGACGCCAGTAGAGATTGATCAGCCACTCTCCATTGATATGGACGACAAGGAGACGTTGAAATCCTACAACAATCGCTACTGGGAGACGTTCAACCAGATAGGGGACTGCCCCATCAATCTCGCCGTCACACAATACAAAAGAGGACTTCTAGTCGGAAACAGATTGAGGGATTCGATTACTATGACTCCACCCCTCACGATGGAAGCCTTGATGGAGAGAGTGCACCAACATATTCAGTTGGAGGAGGATGGCGCCCGTGCAAAGGCAAAATCTGGTACAACAGTAACACCAGATAAGAAGACTACGGTAAAAATCAACACGATAGAACGTCCAAGCAAGAATGAACGAGGCAGGCGAGACAACGAAGAGGACCGAGATAAAAGATGGTTGAGAGTCCGCACTGCCATTACCACGGTATTCAAGAAACCAATCTACCAAATTCTCAGTGAGATACGTGATGAACCTTTCGTCAGATGGCCAACTAAGCTGGGAGAAGCACAAAAGGACTACGACGAAAGATCTCGGTGCACCTTCCATAAGGAAAAGGGGCATCGCACTGAAAATTGCACGCTGTTGAGATAGCATCTGGAGGAGTGTAGACACCCCATTTTTGACCGTTCTCAAGACTTGGACGTCACCATTGGAACACTTGGTGATTACCCTTGTTTGTGTTCGTCTTGAGTTCCCGGAGGCCTCGGTTACGCGCCTTGCCTTAGGACCTCTCGACTCGACCATGTTGTGTCTGGTTTTGCACCAAACACTTGTGTTTTGCCTTGGAGGGGCAGGGAATGCCTTGTGAGGCATCCCCACACATCACCGGCCATGGCTTGAGGCCACCGGCCAGTGATTTTTTGCCATCGGCAATGTATATTGCCGGTCGGCACTCTTTGTTGCCGGTCGGCCATTTATTTTTCCAAAATGGCAATTTTGAATGGCCGATCACTATTCATATACTTTTGGTAGATATTTTGTGCCAGCTGTGATAGCTGGCACCCACATTTTCTCCCCTCCATACACGTGTATGGAGGGATTTCTCTCTTGACAAGCTTATTTGACAAGCTTTACAAGAGAGAGCTCTATAAGAGAGAGTCTCATCTCTTGGATTTAGGTTAGACAACATTTTTAGAGAGCTTTAATATTAGGGTTAGGAATTTGTATTTATTCCATCTCTATATTTCCCTCTCTTGAGCTTAGTGTGTGTGTTTTGTCTTACTTTTGCTCACAAGCACCCACCATCACACCATCCCTTGGAGCTGAGGCCTCTTGAGGGTTGTTTTGGAGGTTTTGAAGCTGGTTTCAACCTAAAGAAGCTGCTGGAGCTCCATTGTTGAAGAATTCAAAATCGATTGTCCTATTCCATTGGAAGATTCAGCTGCAAGACAATTCAAGTTCAAATATGATGTTCTGCATCTCAAGAGTTAATTCCACGTTGGTTGAGCAATGGCCATTTGCAAAAATAGTTTTTTGAAGATTTTTAATGAGGTTGACTAATTTTCTCGTAAATTATTCTATTTTTTCAAAACTGGACCATTTCTTGGACCCAAAAAAGGGAAATTTTTAGTGCTCACAACCTGACTTGCATGATTTCAAAATAAAAAGTTGAACAAGCATGTTAATCTAACTCTCATATTGGTCAAAATTTCCTTAACAAAAAGCCAAAAAATAAAAAAAAAATGGTCAAAATTATAAACTAGAGGCACAGTCGAGTTAGGTTTTTTGTCTTTTCCCCGTTCTCAACGT